CACTTGTTTGTACGAATGAGGTGTTGACTTGCAAAATCTCAATAGGACCACTCGTAACTACTTCCCACATTTCATCGTGTAATGCGGATAAGTGTACCTGCATGCGAATTTTCCAATCATCAAATTTATCTAAGGAAAACAATAAATTTTGGGCAAGAGCCATATCTCTTTTCATCATCTTGATTTTTCGAGATCTGTCTAGCAGTCAAAGTTGACTCAAATAGACAACCGCTCTGATACCAATTGTTGGTCCCAATAGGGTGGTGAAAGTCTAGAGGGGGGGGGGGGTGAATAGACTTTCAAGCTTTTTTGAAATAAATAACACTTTGGTAACTTCAACTCTAAGTAACAAATAAATAGAGTAAGTTTAAACTGCACAGCGGAATAGGTAGTATGTAAAGAGTTATGCCCAATTAATGAATTAAATACGCATGTAAGATAGAATAAAGTAACAGAGGTATCTTGAATATATAAAGGAGATGGTGCACTCAATATATAATAATAATATTCAAGATTGTAAATAAATATCGTATCGCGTCAACCGTGTAACGAATGTTACATGCAACCCGTCAAACTTGCTTAGAATAATTCAATATTTAAGCTCGAGAAGTTTAAGTCACATGCATACGTGAAAACACATTAAACCCGAACGATTAAGATTGACTGTGAATAGTAAACGGGTTAGTCGGATAAGATAAATAGATAGAGCAAATTATGTAAGTGCGGTATGTAAATGAGAGAGGCAATTTATAGTGGTTCGGAAGTGGCGTAATCTTCCTAGTCCACTTTTCTCCTTTCGCGTCTAGGAGAAATTCACTATTTTTCACACACAGTTACAATAGTGAATAAGTGCTACACAAGCACTTCTTCCGGATGTTTTGCACACAGCTACACCCAACTCCAAGTGTCTCGCACACAGCTACACTTAACTCCGAGTATTTCGCACACAGCTATACTCAACGCCAACTAAGTGTCTTGCACACAGCTACACTTAGAAACTACGAGTGTTTTGCACACAGCTACACTCACTAGAGTATTTTGCACACAGCTATACTCTTTTTACAATTACAAATACAAAGGTAATTGTATCTCTCTCCAACTAGATTTTTGAGACTATTCAGACTAAGTCTCTAAGAATATTTGAGCACTTGCACTTTTAAATTTTCGTGTGTATTGCACTTCTATCTCGTGTCTATCTTGTACACTTCTGCTTCTGTCTTCAAGTCTTCATGGCTTTTTATAGGCAATCAAATATATTCATTAGAGTGGGATAATTTGATATTTGAAATTTGAATCTTCATAGCCTGATATTGTTGACAATAGTAGGTCTTCAATTTTGATTTGATTGTCAACTTGCCTGACAAGATAATATCTTATCTCCAATTGATTTGTTCAAAATATTATTTTGTTGTCATATTGAATATCCAACGTATCTTTGAAATAAATTCATCTGATAGAATTTATTTCTAGGATAAGTTTTTATATTCATGTCTTCATAAATATTTTTCCGTTCTAATCAAATGTCTTTCAGGCAATTTTGGATTCTTGTGGCATGTGGGTAGACTTAGAATAAATTCCTTTGAATTTATCCAATTTCTGATCATCTTGCTTCTTTGCCACATTGTGCTCCTTTGACTTGAGCATCGTGCTCCTTGACTTGAACATTGTGTTTTTCTGATTTGGTCACATTGTGCTCCTTTGGACACATCGTGCTTGTTCACATTGTGCTCCTGTAGAACATTTTGCTCATTTAGAACATTGTGCTCCTTTTGAACATTGTGCTTGTGCTCTTTTGGTAGCATTGTGCTCTTCCGAAAACTTGATTTGTAAAAATTAAGTCCTTGGGGGGAATTGATCTCGAGTGTGATCATTTTGAGTAAGGACTTCTACCATTTCACCTTTAAGCTCATCCGGTCATTTTTTGCAACGCCATTCCTTTATGCTTCTTTCTCGGATGAATACTCGTAGGACCAAAATTAATTTCTCAAATTAATTTTGTTCTTCCTATGGTAGATTCCTTTTGACTCGCTATTCTGATTTATGATGCTTATACTCAAAGACCTAAAACTAAGGGGATCTAAAGTACATTTGGCTTCATCAAAACTTACAAAAAAAAAAAAATATTCCTATTATACATGTATAATGGTAAGTCTACATATATACATTGTAAAAATAAAACAATTAAATAACTTCTCACAACGAGCGTTACCTTTGTTGACTACATGAGATCAAAAGATAATATAGCGGATACACTAACTAAATTCTTAATTAAGTATAGAGTTTATGGAGAAGTTGTCATGAGAAATAAGACTAAAACCCTTGGAATAAAGTTTTATAGTGATCACCCAACCTAGCTGCCACCTAGGTTCAAAAGGGACAACTAAATTATAGGACGAAGTGTGGTCATTGTGGGGATTTCAAACTCCTAACCATTCCTCATTGAAACAACAATGACTTCTACACGAGGTTAGCATGTGTGAATGTTTTAATGATTCTGAAGTGTCAATTGACATATATGGAGTATGCAAGAAAACTCGTTAAAGGAATCACATATGTGAGAGAGAAGTAAAACCGCTTCAAAGGAGAATTAATTGAGCTCAATTCTTTAGAAACTCTTGCGAAATCAAGAAAAAGGTGTTACATGGCCAAAACAAGCACACCCATAGAATTGAACAAAGGTTTGGATGTTCTTGTGTAAGATATATCATCATTTACACAAACAGTAGTACAGTTCAAAGACTTCACATTCTACTAGACAACTAGTAATGTAAATATATCTTTACGAGGGAAGGTTCAAAGTGAAATACATACCTACCCTATGCAAAGATCGTCCATTGAACACCATTGTGTCATTTTTCTAGTCCAAAAATCAACCTTCATTCATGTGAGAGATTGTTGGAAAAATTGACTTAAAATGACATTTAAAGTAGCCATTTTGTGGTATAATTGTTAGTGTGGTCCACTTTTGATTTGGGGTTTGGGTTAAAGTAGATTTAGGTTATCCTAAGTGAGAGGTTTAATTTGATATTCACTGAAAATAGATAATTGATGAATGAGAAATTGATTCTCAAAGTGTACCCATTTGAGTTGGAAAAAATGGAGTTGAGAAGGTTTTGTGATTGCCTTTGTAACATAAATGCTCTCTCGCGTGCGTGGGGGGGGGGGGGGGGGGGGGGGGAGGGGGGGAGAGAGAGGAGTGCAATTCAAACTCCCAAAATGAGCCAATTAAATTTATTAGTTTTGGGAGTTAGAGCATCCCCAACAAGGGAATTTTGCACAAAAATTAAGAAAAATGAAAAATAGCACCTTTTCCCCCCGAGTTATATACTTATAGCATTTTTTCTTCCTGAATTATTCAAGTGGCTGTTTTTCCCCATGAAATGTTAAATAGACATATTTATCCTTAAAATAAATATTTCATTTATTTTTCTTCTCCAACAAATTATGACCACAATTTGGTTCAAACCAAACAGACACTATAGCAACCAAAACGAAATATTCCAATTACAATTTAGAATTAAAACCCGATATTTAGAGTTTATTACAATCACGAACCAGAACGGCCAGTTCATGTTTTGAACTAAAAATAAAAAATAAAATACATTTATTGTTGAATTTAGACTATTTTAAAATAAAAAATAAAATTTTAAAATAAAGACGATTCAAAATCGCGAACCGAATCCGGAACCGCCGGTTCACGGTTCAGGATCCAGTTTTTTTGATTCATAATTTTAATAAACTGAAATCCAAATATTGGGTTCTGGATCTGAATCATAACCGGAAACTTTTAATTCGATTGTTATAGTGTCCGGTTCAGTTCGAACTGAACCGTTGTCATCCCTACGTATACACAATAATTTGTTGGAGAAGAAAAAATAAATAAAATGTTTACTTTAGGGGTAGAAATATCAATTTAATATATCAGGGAGAAAATTCGTAACTTTTAGAATAATTGAGGGGACTAATGTGCTTACCTAAATAATTCAGGGGGAAAATGTGCTATATGTATATAACTTAGGGGGAAAATGTGTCATTTTCCCTAAGAAAAAAATGGGTATGTGGAGGAGAGAGGAGAGAAGAGAGATGAGAGATAGGGTTGGGTTGGTCCTAGTAATTTGTGGGTTTTGTCAGGGGTTTTGTCAATTTTTTATTTTGTTTTTTATTTTTTCTCTTTTCATTCATTTCTCTTTCCTAATCACACCTCCAAAAACTCCTCAAAAAGTACACCAAGATTCTCACTATTGAGAATGTCATTATGAATTGAAATTTTAAATTCAATTTCGAATGTCATTAGTGCTAATTAATTCCACTTCTCTTATTTATAAATACATGTGGTTAGACGGAATGATTTTACTATTGAGGAATGGAGAAATGGAAAACTGGAAGAATGGAGAAGGAAAACTGGAGAAATGGAGAAATAGAAAACTGGAAATGGAAAAACAGAGAAATGAAGTAAACGACCCCATAGTTTTCATTCTCATACTCTGAAAATTCTTTGAAAACTTTTTGCCAACCTCTCAGCAATCTTAAGTGCTCACTTTGTTTACATTCACCGATAGCAATATAGTTTGAGTGTTTCAACTATATAGTTGTAAATTCATTTTATCTTGAAAAATTGACGTTACAACACACCTAGCACCATTAAGAGATAGTAAATTAATTTTAAAGAAAGTATGTATTACACATAACTTAAATTTTCCTTAATCATCTTTGAGCATATTTTTAAAACAACAATATATAGATATAAATAATGCATGAAAATTGTGTATATCAGTATATATGAAGACGATACATGTACAAAGAATAGATAAAAGACCATGATATTTTTAACATGCTAATCATAAGAGAATGAATTTAGAATGAGGTGTAATTAGCTCACAAATTGAAATTGTTTTGCTCCTTTGTTACTCGCAGCACTCTTGGAAACAACATTACCAATTACCAAGAGCTTAAATCAACAAATATTAAAGACTGGAAAGCTGAGGCTCAGTGTCTCGTCTCACCTGTTCATGCATTCTTGCTAAATCTAATCTTAGATTTTTGTACATTTTCCCCTGTAAATCTGATCCAGAATTTCTATCTACGCCTATCATTCTCTCTCAATTTTTTTTTTCTTGTTAAAATGTCAGCAGATTAAAATAATTCTCCAAAAATATTAGAAACATAATTGTGATACCTGTTTTTTTACCCCTATTTTTTAGTTTTGTTTTTCATCTTTACTGCTTCAAATAATCCTGTATGTACTACCCCATGCCATGCCCATAGCCCAAAGCCAATTGCGAAGCCTATTCCTTTCTTCTCCCCTCTCCTTTTCTGTTTCTGGCGATTTGGCTCGCCGGGGAATTACGCTTTGATCGGAGGAGGATCTGGTGGATTTATCGCCGTTGAGGAATCCAGCTTGCTTACCGGTGTGGTAAGGATCACTGAATTTTCTCGTGCACTCTACAGTATGCGATATTATGCCAAGATTTTTAATTTTTATGTCTGGGTTTTTCTCGAGGTTTGATTGTTTCTGCATTCTGTTCCAGATCTGATTTGTTGAACTGAAGAGTGAAGGGATTTGTGGTCGTTAATTTCGATGGTCAATTTAATTCTAATTTGATTGAATTTAGGGTTTATTTTTCATGGAGGAGACTGTGAGATCAGGTGGTGTGGTAAAGAAGAAAAGTTCGTCTGGGTGTTTAATTATAAGGAAAAAAGATGATAGGGCGGGGGGTGTTCAACGGGGAGGGATTGGCTCTTTGAAGAAGAACAAAAAGAAAAGGCCAAGAGTGATTGTAAATGATTCTGAGTCAGGTGATGAGTTGCCGGAACCTTACAAGAGGAAAGCCCAGGAAATTTCTGGTAATAGTCCGATAACTTACAGGAGTGGGGCTGAGGGGAATGGTAATACTGAAAGTGATAAGAAACGGAGTAGGTTAGATTTGTTTGAGTTCGATGAGTACGATGAGTTTGATGAGAGAGCCGTGAGGAATGAATACCGAGATGGGAGGTTAGCGGTGACACAAGGAATGGGGAGTTCTAGGGAATTCAGAAGTGGGTCTAGTGGGGAAATGATTGTTGCAAAGAGGAAGTTTGATAGCTCAAGGAATGCTTTGGGGAGTAGGACTAAGGGTTTTGATTGTTCAGCTAAAACCAAAACTGACGAGGAGGAAGATGATGTGGATTTACCCATCTCAATGCTGAAGTTGAAGTATCAAAAAACGTCCAATGAAGCAATAAGGTTGCAGGGGAAAAATGGGGTATTGAAGGTAATGGTTAATAAAAAGAAGATGGATTTATCACATAAAAAAAATGATTGCCGTGATTTTGACAGTAGGAAAGGTTCAACATCTGAGGACTTAATCATGAAGAAGCTACAAGTCCAACCTCACTCAGATTCTGAACACCCTGAAAAGCAACACCTGTCTGTTCAAAGGGAGAAAAGTAAGATGAAATCCCGGAAAATTTTGATGAGCAACAATACTGGAGCTAGTGATTCAGAAACTGATGGGACTGGTACATCACCTAAGGTGATTCTCTCAGCTCTGCCTGCTGGTAACTCTCTGAAAAGGGTTAAAAAGGAAGAAAATAAGCTTTCAACAGTTAACCCCGTTTCTCCCACTAATAAAGAAGGAAAAACCAAACGTGGGGCAAGCACTGAGAAACAAAAACTGCGTGAGAAAATTAGGGGAGTTTTGACTGATGCTGGCTGGACTATTGATTATAGACCGAGAAGAAACAGAGATTACCTAGATGCAGTGTACATAAGTCCTTGTGGAACAGCCTATTGGTCTATAGTTAAGGCTTATGATGCTTTTCAGAAACAGTTGGAGGAGGATAGTGGTGGAAATAAATCTGCTGGTGTGTCTGCTCCATTTTCTCCTTTATTGGAAGATATAAATAAGCTAACCAGGCAAACAAGAAAGAAAATTGAGAGAGAAATGAAAAAGAAGAGAAAGGATAATGGTACCAGTAGGGATAACAAGAAGACTTCAGGAAAAGAGTCCGCAGAAGGCTCAGACAGCGATCAGCATGATGAGCGATTAAGTAGCTATATAAAGAAGAGTGGTAAGTTGCTGAAAGGAAAGTTTCATGCAAGACATCAAAAGAATCAGTATGGAACTAGTGAAAATATCTCGGTCTCAAAAGATGGGAAACATGACCAGGACATTATTGGGAAATTCTCTGTAGCACCTACTGGTAAGTTAATCCAGGGAAGAAAAAGTAAAATAATTGGGAGATGTACTTTGTTGGTCCGTAGTTCTGATAAAGGACAAAATTCAGAAATTGATGGGTATGTTCCTTATTCTGGAAAAAGAACATTATTGGCATGGATGATTGACTCTGGGACAGCGAAACTTAGTGAAAAGGTTCAATATATGAACCGTAGAAAAACACATGTGAAGCTAGAAGGCTGGATCACACGAGATGGCATTCACTGTGGTTGCTGTAGTAAAATACTTACTGTTTCCAAGTTTGAGCTCCATGCAGGGAGCAAACTGCGTCAACCCTTTCAAAACATAGTTTTGGAATCTGGAGTTTCTCTGTTGCAGTGCCTTATAGATGCTTGGAATAGGCAAGAGGAGTCTGAACGCCAGGATTTCTGTACTGTAGACACTGATGGTGATGATCCAGATGATGATACTTGTGGTATCTGTGGTGATGGTGGGGACCTGATCTGCTGTGATAGTTGTCCATCAACTTTTCATCAGAGCTGTCTTGGTATAATGGTACGTGTTAATCAGCATATGCTCTATCTCACTTCTTTTTTGCTTACTTCTTACTTGCCCATCTTTCAAAGCTAACGTTTTTACTCGTCCCTTTTCATTACATTCATAAATGTGGAATTCCTTTTCTGTTCACGAAGAGAAAAGAGAGAAAGGGGTCAAACTATTAAAGTTAAGCTGGTGCATGCTTTCTATTTAAAAAACCATTCATTAACTATAAGCTTAGTCCAAAGGAGAAGAAACCTAGTAATCTCTTTCATTTTGTTATTTTGATAAGTGAAACTTATCAGTGTTTTAGATAGATGGAAGGCAATGCCAAACTTCAAACAAGGTTTTCAAATCTTGATTCACAGGATGAATGGTAAATTAGATTTTGGATCAAGAAATCCTACTAAACAATCAAATAAGTCATTTACAATCATGAATCAAAAGTGCCAAACTTCTCAAGGATCAAAGAGGGAGAATTTTAAAGTTTGTTACAAGTAAAATAATTGAGAGCGTAAATTTTTTATAATAATCAATATAAAACTTGGTGCTGTTATATGTTTAAATATGAATTGGTAGAAATATTTGTGGTAAGAACAAAATACTAAAGGGCTCAAAACAATTTGTGGTATTTTGGTTGTAGTTTTTGGTAATGGTTTCATCCAAATTGTAGACTTTCTTCTAAAAAGGAAATAGTGTATGAATTTTTGAACAGTGATAACTTACAAATCTAGAAAATGTGAACAGCAATATTTTCTGCTGTTTAACCCTATTTATTTTTCTAAATGATGTGTGCACTTCATGAATATGGCATGCTATTTTGGAAACACACTTCATGTGAAATCGATTTCTTCAGTCTACCATCTGAAGATTCTGAATGTATTCCATTAATCTCAACTTGAGCACCAAAGTGACATTAATGGAGAAATTGGATTGCAAAAGGCCATCAATTAAATCAGGCATTCTTGCCCTTTCTCATTTCTCAACGTCATTTCTGTAGAATCATCTCACTCACCAATTTTATCTTGAATTTGTGAGGTAATGGTGCAGCAAGGAAGCCAATTTAGTCTAAAAGCATATATACTGTGCTGTAAAGGAAGCAAATCATGTCCATTAACCGTCTAAAAACTGCAAAATGATTGATCTCAGTTGCAAGTTTGCAACGAATTAGCTGAATAACTTGGTCTGTCTTCCGGCAAAAAGCCAATTGTTTACAACTCTTGCTCCAATTTTGGTCACCTGAACCTATTGAAAACCTTATTTATGTTTGGTGTATTTGCTTTGTTATGCAGTCATTTATTTATGTGATTCAAAACATCATGATGGATGAGCAATTAAGCCTACAGGTTACAATTCAGGGCTAAGGAGACAGGCTTTAGCCAAAAATGTATGACGTTGACTTGCTTCTACTCATTGCAGATGCTTCCTCCAGGTGATTGGCACTGTCCAAGTTGTATTTGCAAATTTTGTGGCATTGGTGATGAAAGTCCTACAGAAGATGATATGGATGTCAATGAGCTCCACTTGTGCATCCTCTGTGAGAAAAAATGTAATATGATGTCTCTTTTGAAATCTTGTTTTAATTTTTTTAACACTTTGTTATTTCATAATTCTATCACCTTTTCCTGTTTAGATGAAATTCTACATATTTTACAGATCACAAGTTATGCAGACAAGAGTTGGAGGCTAACAATGTTTTACCTGTGAAGAACAAAATTTCATCTACTTCATTTTGTGGGCAGACATGCCAAGAGGTATTCCCGTTAAGATGTCTAATAGAATTACTAACAATCTTCAGATTCCAGTTTTTGTTGTTAAAACATATTGTCTTCTTATCTAAGACCTCATGAAAATAAAAAAATAAAAAATAAAAAAAAAAATTGTTCTTTTACTTGTTGACAATTGGTATGTCCTATCATGTTGAAAAAGATAATTGATCTACAATTTGTGGCAAACCTGGCATGAGATTTGGCTATTTCAATTTTTAATAGATTAACAATGTCTACTTATTTAATTGAGATCTTCTGTTTTTAGACCCCTATAAAATTGAATACTTTTTACAGTTCTAGAATTGTCATTCTGTGAAAAAGTAATGGATAAGGAGTGCAAACTCTGAAGATCATTGTAGTTCTAAATGTGGGAAAAAAAAAAATAAAATAAAATAAAAAACCTTAGGGACATGGGCTTGCTTGTAATTTACTGCTGCCATTATAATCACTTTAAGTCAAGATGCTTGCTTCAAGAAGATTCTTGGAAACTGAGGTGTATAAAATAGAAATATTCTTCTGTTGTTTATGTAGCTCTATGACCGTTTAAGGAAGATTGTTGGAGTCAAACATGAATTAGAAGCAGGATTCTCTTGGTCTCTCATCCAACGGACAAATTTAGACTCTGATACATCACATTGTGAGTTTCCTCAAAGAGTTGAAGGCAATTCCAAGATGGCTGTTGCATTGTCTATCATGGATGAGTGCTTTTTACCCATAGTGGATCGAAGAAGCGAGATTAATATAATTCACAATGTCCTTTATAACTGTGGGTAAGTAGCAAGCAACCATTTTTACATTTTATATTTTTGAAAATGCATTATGGAGTCACAGAGAAACATAGTTTTAGAAGATAAAGATTGAGCAAAATCCTTAGCATTTTTCATTGTTTTCTTAAATCTGTTTATGCTTTTAAGTGGATGGCTTTTCAGCTGCATAGGCTCACTTTCATGCTTTGTGACTTCTGCACCAACAATTTTTAGTCAGACATACTGTACTCTTTATTGCTTACTACTGTTGGTTCAGAACTTTTGATTGGTTTGTAATTGGCTTTGTAATGCCATAACTTTTGAAGGTCTTTCCCCCTTTTCTTCTGTAGGTCAAATTTTAGTCGAATTAATTATCGTGGCTTCTACACAGCAATCTTAGAAAGGGGTGATGAAATAATATCTGCAGCATCTATAAGGTATGCTTTCATCTGTTTGTTACATTTATGATTTTTGCTATTTGAATTTGAAACAACTGGCCATACGCATTCTATTTTAGAATAAGGATAGCAGTTTCTTTCTTTGGTCGTATTTTTCACGATTGCTTTTTGTAGTTTGTCTATTGTCATCTCAGACTATAGTGGCTAGAACTTTTATAGTCTTTAAAAAGAAAGCCTTCTCTCATATTCACCCATGTTAGCTGTACTAGTTCTTGTTTCCTCATTGATGCTTAAAAATAACTAGACTGAGAACCAGATTCATATTCACCCATGTTATGCTAGCTCATTCATGGTATTTATTACTAGTTTACTACAAATAAATTCTGGTCATATATATGCCATTTAATCAGAATCCATGTTAGCTGTACTTCCATAATATGTATTAATAACAGTAAATTCTGATCATATGCATTTATCAGGATACATGGCACACAACTCGCAGAAATGCCGTTTATTGGGACACGCCATATATATAGGCGTCAAGGAATGTGTCGACGGCTATTGTCTGCTATTGAGATGGTATGCTTGAATTTTAGTTGTTGGCTTTTGTATTGATCTAATTGATATAAAATTTGTTTCAAATTTAAGGATATATTGCTTCATATTATGTTGATTCAAAATGTCATTATATATAGGATAGAGTTATTGGAACTACAGTCCAAATATCATTTACTTCTCAAGGAACTAGTAAAGAAAATAGTTTATGCACATGCCTTGTTTCTAGTTGCAAACTGTATGTTTTAACATAAAATATCAAAATTGTAAAAAAGCCATCTTCCACCCTGTTTCAATCTCTGATTTGTTTTATCCCCATTTTTCATGATGGTGCAATTTTCAGGTCCTCTCCACTCTAAAAGTTGAGAAGTTGATCATTCCTGCTATATCTGAGCATATACATACCTGGACAGTAGTTTTTGGTTTCAACCAACTTGAGGAATCTCACAAGCGGGAAATGAAATCTATGAATATGTTGGTGTTTCCAGGGGTAGATATGTTACAAAAGCAGCTAGTAAAGCAAGGAGCATCTGAAGGTGAGTAATTAGTCTCACCTTTAGGTTCATCTTTTTGTTCATTTACTGTCCTTCTAGGAGAAAGAACGTCCTTCATCGTTTTAGTTATCCATGCCTCTGATTTGGACCTTTAACTTGTTTGCGTAGGTTTGAGGGCTGTTGATTTTAGAAGTCCTAGTAAGTCTGACACAGTTTCCTGTGCCAAGCGTGATGCAAATGAATGTCACGATACTGGTTTGCAGAACGCAAATGAAATTCATGCAAAGGTTGAAAGTGGGTGCTTGGGTTCTCCAGCTTCAGCTGCACAATCACATGATAGTACAATGATTGATGGCCAAGACTATAGTCCTTCTACTATCAAATCGTCCAATAAGGTGACTGAATCAATCAAATCTGAGGTGGAGAACAAGCTTGGTGAATCTTCAACAAACTTAGGCCAGTCTGCAGCAGGTGAAAATGTGATCACACTTGATATGCAAGATGCAGTCGTAGATTTGTTACCCACCAAGGATGATGTCCTTGCCACTTCTGAGATATCAGATAGTGCACCCACTGAAGTTGATGGGAAAGCGATTTGTGTGGATTCTGTACATTGCTCTTCATTAGATCTTGCCATCAATGGAGACAGGAAACAGACTTCACAATCTGCTTCTGGGAAACCTATTGAACAGCCTAGCTCAGATCCGAATCTTCCCAGCACAATTGACGGGGAAAACAAACCAAATATGGCTTCCGAAAAAACTACCGATACTGAAGGAGTTGACAGTGCAAAGATTATTCCTTGTGAAGGTAAGAACGATTTGGCTTCTTCCAATGAAAGAAAAAATGTTGAAGAATCTTGTGTGGAACCAAGCAAAACTTCTTCTCAAGACATGGCTGAAAAGGATGAAAGTTCATAATTCTTGTTCCACTGCTGCATTTCAAGCTGGCAATCATGGAGTTTATGCGAGGTGAGGGCAAGAAGCAACTTACCTTTGGCTTTAGAACATCATTAGGCCAAACACAGCATTCGAACTGAATTTCTTGAAGATCTAGCCTGAACGCTATTCAGTTCAGTATAAATGTTTAATGAGCAGAGGAACTTAGGCTTTATTTTTCTTATTTTTCCTCAAATGCACTTAAAAGGTCCAGAGCAGAAGGGGTGACTTTGTATATAGTTTGGAATTTGTAACTTTCGTTTTTGTATTATTTCTTTTTTATTCATTTTTAAATTTCCTTGTTAGGCAAAAGAATAGCTTTCTTTGTGGTTTGTCACATAACTGTTTGCAGAGATCAATTAAGTTGCTCATTCTAAACTTACACTATATTTTCTTCTTGTACTTTCACTTTCCAATTTTACCATTTAAAACTCCATGATGGCACTAGCAAGGGTGTTAGTGCGGTGGCTAGTGGCTAATGGTGGGGCGAGTAGGGATGGCAATGGGGTGGTAACTACATTCGCCATCCTATTCATCCTTATGATTTCTTCACCCATCTTCATCCTTTGACCCGTCACGAGTGGATTCTTTCATCCTTATATTTTCCTCATCCATTCTCATTCTTGGCCCGTTACGAGTAGCTTAAGACTGCGCACAACAAGGAGCCCCCCTCACTTTGAGAGGTTGCTCTCACACTGTCACTGGTGAGACTCGATCTGTGGTATTCTTTTCAACGTTCACCTCTATGACCAGTTAAGCTACTCATGCGGGCTTTAATTTAGAATTATGTGTCTACAATGTCTTTATTCAAAAAAAAATTATTCATTATCAATAAATTAAATAAGATAAATAACTTCATTAGTTATAGTCTTTATTTTTATCCAATATAAAAATTCTTTACATTCAAATTCATCAATTGATTATATTCTCTACATTGTCCCTACATTGTCTTTATTCAAAAAAAAATTATTCATTATCAATAAATTAATTTTGAGAAATAATTTTATTAGTTATATTGTCTTTATTTTTCTCCAATGTAAAAATTATTTACATTCAAATTCATCAATTGATTATATTCAATACATTGTCTATTATCTTTTTTTGTGCCCTATTTTTTAATAAAATATCAAAGTTATAATACAAAATAATGCTATATATTTATTTACCAAGTATATTTTATTAATACCATGAAAAAATTAAAAAAATATAATTAAGTCAATCACATTAACTACTTGAGAGATTTGTTGACAAAGAGAGTATTTAAATCACACAGCAAATTGAAGTGAGAAACTATCTTGCAATGTCCTTTTTTGGCAATCAACAGTTAGCGGTTAGCGTTAGAGGATTTGACCGCAAATTATATCAATGGTTGGTAAAAAAATATTTGAAAAAAAATAGTTGTTTACATTAACATGTAAAATGACCTAAGGGTATAATAGTAATAGTAATAGTAATAGTAATAGTAATAGTAATAGTAATAGTAATAGTAATAGTAATAGTAATAGTAATAGTAATAGTAATAGTAATAGTAATAGTAATAGTAATAGTAATAGTAATAGTAATAGTAATAGTAATAGTAATAGTAATAGTAATAGTAATAGTAATAGTAATAGTAATAGTAATAGTAATAGTAATAGTAATAGTAATAAATAGTAATAGTAATAGTAATAGTAATAGTAATAGTAATAGTAATATAAATAAATATAATAGTAATATAATAGTAATAGTAATAGTAATAGTAATAGTAATAGTAAATAATAGTAATAGTAATAGTAATAGTAATAGTAATAGTAATAGTAATAGTAATGTAATAGTAATAGTAATAGTAATAGTAATAGTAATAGTAATAGTAATAGTAATAGTAATAGTAATAGTAATAGTAATAGTAATAGTAATAGTAATAGTAATAGTAATAGTAATAGTAATAGTAATAGTAATAGTAATAGTAATAGTAATAGTAATAGTAATAGTAATAGTAATAGTAATATAGTAATAGTAATAGTAATAGTAATAGTAATAGTAATAGTAATAGTAATAGTAATAGTAATAGTAATAGTAATAGTAATAGTAATAGTAATAGTAAATAGTAATAGTAATAGTAATAGTAATAGTAATAGTAATAGTAATAGTAATAGTAATAGTAATAGTAATAGTAAATAGTAATAGTAATAGTAATAGTAATAGTAATAGTAATAGTAATAGTAATAGTAATAGTAATAGTAATAGTAATAGTAATAGTAATAGTAATAGTAATAGTAATAGTAATAGTAATAGTAATAGTAATAGTAATAGTAATAGTAATAGTAATAGTAATAGTAATAGTAATAGTAATAGTAATAGTAATAGTAATAGTAATAGTAATAGTAATAGTAATAGTAATAGTATAATAGTAATAGTAATAGTAATAGTAATAGTAATAGTAATAGTAATAGTAATAGTAATAGTAATAGTAATATAATAAAAAAAAAAAAAAAAAAAAAAAAAAAAAAAAAAAAAAAAAAAAAAAAAAAAAAAAAAAAAAAAAAAAAAAAAAAAAAAAAAATAATAGTAATAGTAATAGTAAATAAAAAAAAAAAAAAAAAAAAAAAAAAAAATAGTAATAAAAAAAAAAAAATAAAAAAAAAAAAAAAAAAAAAAAAAAAAAAAAAAAAAAATAGTAATAGTAATAGTAATAGTAATAGTAATAGTAATAGTAATAGTAATAGTAAATAGTAATAGTAATAGTAATAGTAATAGTAATAGTAATAGTAATAGTAATAGTAATAGTAATATAGTAATAGTAATAGTAATAGTAATAGTAATAGTAATAGTAATAGTAATAGTAATAGTAATAGTAATAGTAATAGTAATAATTTAATAAAAAATAAAATTAAAAATAAATAAATAAAACATATGGGGAGCCGGATGTTCGGCTCTCCTTTATTTTGTCACTTTTCCCACATCGGTGAGAAAAGTGGCATGGGAGCCTTAAGGCTCCAATTTAAAAATTAAGCTTGCCTATCCGTTGATGGGCAAATAGTGAGCCAACGAAACTAGTTCTTGTTATTCAAGGAGTCGAAATGGCTCTACAGTAAACTTGTTTTTTTTTTTTTTTTTTTTTTTTTTTTTTTTTATATAGAAGTGTTTTTGGGAAATCATTCTCAAAAACGCTAAGTGAAAATATTGTAAATTGCAATGTTTGTATTTTCAGTGGCTTAGAATAAATTGTTGCTTCAAACTGTTGAATAACCAAACACTTTCTTTAGCATTTTGATCTTTGGGTTATATAATATTTACCATCGTCCAATATCTTTGGCTTACATTATAATTAAAATTTTTAAATTTTTAATACTTCATCTAAATTTCTTAAATTAGGAATTTCTTTATCCATAATAATTTATTCAACAATAATGCTTCAACTAAATGAACACTAAGCAAAACACCTAAAGGATTAGTACCTATGTGCATTCATTAAAAATATTAGAACCCTTTGCAACAAAAATACTTGGTTACTATTACATTGTATTCATATATTATGAGTTACATATTTAAATAAACAAACTCGACATTAAATTACTTATGTATGAACTTCTCATATATAATCTTGCATTGATATACTTTCAAATATTTATTTCATTATAAACATTATGGTCTAATGGCTAGGGGTGACCACGGTTCGGTTCGAACTGGAAGTTCGAACCGTAACTATTACTATACTAACCGAACCGTAACCAGAATTGTCCGTACGGTTCCGATTATAAAAAATTAGGAACCGAAACCTCCGGTTCCTTCGGAACCGAACAATTCCAATTTGGAACCGTAAAATTAAAAATTAAAAAAATTAAAAATTAAAATAAAATGGCCAGTAGGCCACTAGGGCCATTGCCACATGCAACAAACAATATACACATACCATACAATTTCTTAATTAAAAAAAAAAAACAAAGAAATTTCGGTTCGTTTATTTTCGGAACCGGAACCAGAACTGTGGTCATGCCTACTAATGGCACCCGAGTTAAACTCCCATATAGGAGGTTATGAGTTCGAGCCTCAGGAGGCGGCGTTATTGGCTCTTTGTGCTTCAGTAGGTGGCGGCGTTACAGATACTACATTGTAATAGAGTCAGTAGCATTCGCATAAACATCGAGCATTAAATAAAAAGGGAAAATCAACGATTTGGTCCCTCAATTGTTAGTGAAATATCAATGTAGTCCCTTAATCGCGTAATCATCGATTTAGTCCCTGAAAATAATTGCTTTTAGTTGATTTATTTACCCTTCCGGCCGTAGCCCGTCCAAAATCCGGCGATAGCTCCGATTTGTCATGAGTAATTTAGTCATTTCATTTTTTAGTCTTCTTCTTACATTGTTGTGCGGATGTTTTGGTTAAGTGTCGAAGAACCACTTAACTAAGCCCTAAAGTCCTAAAATTTTTCCCCACCAAAATCCACCAGATTGGAGTAAAGTCATAGGGATTGGAGCAAAATCGTAGGCATTGGAGCGACAACATGACGAGTTAGAGGATTAATGGGTTTGCTATTTCGCCAAATTGTAAGTTTTTCATCAAAAGTTAGGTTTTTTTTTTTTTTTGGAGAATATGATTTTGGTAGACATAGAACCTTGAAATGAGTATTTGTGTTGATTCGTACTTTATTTGAGATAGTCAGCAATGTATTAATGTCTGTGCTTGGTTGTTTTTTTATTGGTGCTGTTAATGTCTGTTTTTTGTTGTATTTTTTATTGCTATTGTTACTTTGAAGAAGAAAGCGGTGTTGGGGGTGGGGACCATGTGCTGTTGTTACTTAGCAGTGTATTAGAAAGCAGTGCATTTTTGCTGTTGTTACTTAGATGTTGATGCTATATTTTTGGGGGTGGGGACCATGTGCTGGTAGTATAACCTTTACAGCAGCACTTTGTTTATGGATGGGGACCATGTGGTTGTGTTTTTGTCTACAGAACTATTGTTTTTTGTCTGCAAAACTCTTTTTTGGTTCTTATTATTTTTTTTATAACTTTTGTTGATTATTATCTCTTTATTTTATCTAGATGATGGTGAGGAAGAATCTGTTTTTACAGTAAAATTGCATCTTGGTGGGGATTTGGTATTGAAACCTAGGTTTAGTTATAAAAATGGGGTAGTGGAGTATTTTGACCATTTTATTTGTGATTTTGGTAGTATTCTAGATTTAAGAAGGATGGTCAGAATGCTTAGGTTTTGTGACAAAAAAGTCCAGTTTTGGTATAAGGTTGTGAACAAAAGAAAACTTACAGTTTTAAGGATAAATAGTGATGTTGATATCCTAAGGTTGATTACTGAGATTCCAGTGAACAAAGAGGTCGACATATATGTAGAGCATTTGCATGAAAATCAATGGGACTATGATGTAGAAATCTCTAGGGAACTAGGAGATGATGTCTTATTGCATGATGAAGATGCTAGTATGGATACTGATGAAGGAGGTGATGAAGGACAACCTGATCTTGCAAACAATCTTAGGGACATTGCTACTAGTTCAAAACAGAAGGGGGTTGAGGATTTTGTGGAGATTGAATGTGAGTTTTCTGAACAAGTACTAAGGAGTTTGTGTGATTCAGATTCAGAGGGGCAAATTCATGTGGCATTAAATGTGTTTGAAGAGAGAAATTTAAAAAGGGAAGGGTTTAAATTTCTGATTGGAATGGTGTTTAATTCTTCTAAAGAATTCAAGTGCGCAGTTCAATACCATGAAAGTTTGAGGCAGAAGGATGTTATGTTTAAGAAGAATGAGGGAAGAAGAGTTAGGGTAGTGTGTAGACACCATAAGATCTGCAACTGGTCTATTTTTGGTTCAAAATGCAATCCTGGTTCTCCATTTACTATCAAGACTTACAAACCTGTCCACACATGTGGGAATCAAGATGAAAACAAGGTTGTAACTTCTGGATTTTTAGCAAAATTCTTTAAGGAAGATTTCATAGTTAATACAGAATGGGGTAGAGGACCATTTCAGGAGCATGTGATTTCCAAATTCAATTGCCAGCTAACTAGAAACCAAGCATATTTGGCAAAAAAGAAAGCTTTAAAGCAAACAGATGGACAAGACTTAGAACAGTTCAAGCTACTGAATGACTATTGTGAAGAACTTAGAAGAAGTAATCCTGGAACCACTTTCAAAATGAAATTAGACAATGAATTTAGTGTGAATGAAAGGCCTAGGTTTCTAAGTCTTTACATTTACTTTGGAGCTTGCAAGGAAGGGTTTGTTAGGGGGTGTAGACCCATTATTGGGGTTGATGGCTATCACCTAAAGGGTGCTCAAAAAAGAGGGCAACTACTGAGTGTTATAGGTTTAGATGGTGATAATAGGCTTTTTTCAGTGGCATTTGTTATTGTGGAGGGTGAGTTGAAGGAGACATGGTCATGGTTTTTAGAGCTGTTGGACAATGACTTAAATATCTCAAATGATCATGGTGCTTGGACAATCATTTCTGATAAGCCACCAAAGTATAAGCCACAACCTGGGAGGCCAAAGAAGAAGAGAAAGATAGATCCAATTGTGGAAAATTCAGATCAAGCAAAAATCTATTAAACAAGGTGAAGTTAGAAAGTATAGGTTGTGTGGCATGAGAGATCATAATATGACTACTTGCAAGGCAAAAGACAAATCGGTATGGCCCTTGGTAATTCCTTATTGTTTTTCTTAACTGTTAGTGGAGGTCTTTTCTTAACTGGTTTTATTGCATGAAGGTACAAGAACCAGAGGGAGGTGAAGTCAATGAAGAGCTGCAGGAACCTGAACATCATGACCATCAAGAGCAATGCTATGATGTGGTAGTTGAGACACAAGTCCCAGACTTTGTGCTAAATGAAATGGTAAGTAAAATTTGACACTGCCCAATGCATATAATTTGTTGTTTATAAATTTTTGTGCTCATATTTTCAGGAAGCAATGTCATCCCAACCATCACAAGCCATTGAAGGAAACAATGTGATCACAAGCATGTCAAACTTTATCTCTTCACACATATCATCTCAAGCTATTGATCATGGGATTACCACTAGAAGGATGAAATATGTAACTGTTGTAGGACTTAAAAGCATGAAGAAAAAGCGACTTTTCAATGTTGGGAAACTATTTTGTAGGAGTAAATGTAAAGTCTTAAAGTTTGCAAACTATTTTTTGTAATCTTAAATGTAAAGTGTTTTTTGTATAAGTTTGCAAACTGTTTTTTGTAAGCTTAAATGTAATGTCTTTTGGTGTAAGTTTGCAAACGTTTTTTGTGTAAGCTTAAATGTTATGTCTTTTGGTATAAGTTTGCAAACTAGTTTGTAAGATGGTGACCATGTAGCAATACTACTTTTTGTAAGATGGTGAATTGGTTATGTTAATGGCAATATTGGAGCATTTTATGGAGCAGGTTATGTTAACTGTCAAAGTCTTAAAGTTTTTGTGTAATTTGTCTTGCTTATATACACATACTGTCAAAATGAACACTTAACCATCCACTGTCAAAATGAACACTTATCATTAACCATCACAAGTCAATTCATTACACCATCCACGGCTAGAAAACAAAAATACAAAACCAGATTACAGTACTAACTACACCTGATTACAGTACTACTTAAGCTGCAATAACCCTACATTTGCTACATCAGATTCCATCCATGTATTCATAAAAAAGAGTGCAAATACATAACCAATTCCAAATCCATACAAAAACTTAAAATTGGACTCCCAAATCTTCTTATTGAATTCATGATTTTTTTTCTCAATTGTCAAGTGCAGCTCGTCAATTTCCTTCCCATACTTGTCTGCCCTCTTCAACAATCCTCTAATGACATTTGCTACACGTTCGGAGACATCATAGTCCATCCATTCAAAATACCTGCAACTCTCATTTCCCTGAGCAGAACTCACACTGTCAAAATCGAATTACATTACAATATTTAACCTAAATATTCCCTAAATTTTACACTTACCCCGTATCTTGGACATGTCCTATATCTCTTCCCTGGGTTAGCATAACTGCATGACATCTTCATTGGAGCCAAATATCCGCACCTCCGCCATGAATTCCAATGAAGAACTGTTGTTGCAAGACATTATCTTTCTTTTTCGTTGCTTGGAGTCTTCAATCTCTTCGAATCTGCTCTTTGTTTCAGAACTACGGTTCTCTGTCTAATAAGGTCTCTTCGCCGTTTGAGGAATTTAGTTGAAGAAGAAGAAGACTAAAGAAACTAAAAAGGGCAATAAAAAGAAAACTAAAAAGCGAAATGATTAAATTACCCATGGTAAATCGGAGCTATCGCCGGATTTTAGACGAACTATGGCCGAAAGGGCTAAACCAACTAAAAACAATTATTTTTAGGGACTAAATTGATAATTACGCGATTAAGGGACTACATTAATATTTCGCTAACAATTGAGGGACCAAATCGTTGATTTTCCCTTATAAAAATAAAATAAGTCAAAATTGACCAAATTGAAAAATATAAGGATTAAATTGCAATTTTAGCCATATAAATTCTACGGAGTATTTTTTTAAGCTCTTCGTTCTTGGCCTTCTCAAAACCCTAGTCTTCACAACCCGGCGCTGCGCAGTGCTAGAGACAGAAGGCGAGAGGAAAAGCCGCAGCCATGGTATGTTATCTCTTTCCTGTTCGACTCGAGTTGACTTGTTCGTCTCTAACGCGTTCAATTTGATTTATGTTTTACTTGATTGATTGCTTTTGCAGAGTCTTGTAGCGAATGAGGATTTCCAGCACATTTTGCGTATCCTGAACACCAACGTTGATGGAAAGCAGAAGATAATGTTCGCTCTCACTTCCATCAAAGGTATTGGTCGCAGGTTCGCCAACATCTGCTGCAAAAAAGCCGATATCGACATGAACAAAAGGTTTCAACTTCTTCTATTTGTTAAAATGTCTTTCACTAACTTTTTAAAATTTATTTTCGATCAATTTTTTTTGTGGGTACCCAATCTAACGTTAACTGTTTTGTTTTATATGGAGCATTATATTAGTATGTCAGTGATTTGAAAATGTATGGCTTGGCATTGTGTTCTTAGTGCTTAGAACAAGAAAGGGTGCACTTGCTATTATATTGTTCTTTGAGTAACACAATAAGGAACATAAAATAAGGAAAGTGAACAGAACTTTAAACAATTTCTGAGGATTAGAAACAGATATAGAGACAAGGAAGTTATTACCAGATTGAGCAATAGACCATTGCAATTACAATCATAAAATTTTCACTATGGTAGCAATGTAGCATCCTCAAGTGAGTATGGATTTTTCGTAGGGTATACTTCCTACTGATTGAACATAGGTTTTACTAACCCATGTAAACTATTTCCTAACATAAAACTTTCTCCAGGAATTATACCAGGATCACACTTATCAATGCATGAGTATGTTTTAAACCATTGCACATTAAGTAATTATCTCTTCAATGGTTTGGAATTTCACAATCACCATAAGCTGCTAACTGTTCTATACTAGGTTTCAGTGGATAACTGCAAAATTTGTAATATAACTTTACTCATTCTCAGGGTATTCAGTTAGTTATATTGATAGGTAATGCTTGATGCCTAGTATTTTGTCTTGAAGTCCCATGACTTGTATCTGAAATAGTTGCCTAAGTGCTTGTTGTCCAAGCTCACTGTAGCTTATCTGCTCCAAAAAAGCATAAGCTGGGTGAAATGCTAAAACGTAGGAAAATGCGTCTAAAGCTAGTTAAGTGTTGAAAGGGTCTTTCTCTATTTCTCCAGCTAGACCAAACAAGGATGTAATCAAGTGTGCCAAAATTCCTAGAGCGGTTTCTTTGTCATCTAGATTCTAGACTCTAGAGTGCTTATGGAAATGTGAAATGCCGCAGGGCTGGTGAGCTTTCTTCTGCTGAGATTGATAACTTGATGACAGTTGTGGCAAATCCTCGCCAATTCAAGGTCCCTGACTGGTTTCTGAACAGACAAAAAGACTATAAAGATGGAGGTTATTCACAGGTTGTGTCCAATGCCTTGGATATGAAGCTAAGGGATGACCTTGAGCGTTTGAAGAAAATTAGGTATGATCTTTTCTAATCTTTAGTGGATTGCAAATGTTACATCAAAACAATGTAATTTTTTTTATCAATTGAACAGATTTTTTTTTTTAATTTTTTTAATTAAATGCTTGTTGGTTTAATGTTTAGTGGATCTCCATGAATGTGAATGTTACATTTTTAGTTGCATGAAGTAAAGAACCTGCAAGCTCTTCTCTATAAATCAAAACACATTTAGTGAAACTGGTTATTGCATATAAAATATTATTTGGAATTACCTATGCTTTAAATCATGATGTTTATCATTCACTTTGAATGGAAGTGACTCTTTTTTTAGCATATGCTTGTCTGATAACATAAACATATTAGATGTTCAAAGTTGAGACTGAGGTAGTAGCTGGATCTTTTGATTCATTTCTGTTTGTCATCTCAAATTCTTCTTATATGTTTGTGGTTTGTCTAGTTTCTTCAAACTATACTGTGTATTGTTTCTTATCCTTTTTTGCTTCTGTCTTCATGTCCACTTTACCCCACACCACCAAAAGACAGGGACATAGGCACATGTCTTAGTTTGCCTAAATCTTTGGGATGACCTTTTAATAAATGATTGCCCAATTTGTTGAATGACAGGAACCACCGGGGTCTCCGACACTACTGGGGTCTTCGTGTACGTGGTCAGCACACCAAGACGACTGGACGTAGGGGAAAGACTGTTGGTGTCTCTAAGAAGCGTTGAGCTCTCTTTTGGTTTCAGTTCTATTTTAATTTTTGTTCCTCTATTATGATGTCTTCGGGAATGAACATTTTGGTTATATGCGCTAGCTCTGTTTTCTCACTACAGTACTGGTTGAGCTTGAATGAGCTCAATATGATTTCTTAGATGATTTTGGAACAAATATCTTCGATTTTGATTGTTAAGCCTAATGTTTGTTTTTTTTTTTTTATTTGTATTTTATAATTTTCATTACAAAAATGTCAATCGTCTTTAAGGATTAAATTAGTGCTCATTCAAATGAAAAACTTATATTTGCATTGCCATTTTGCCTTGCTCTTTTGTATGTTGAATTATTGTTTTCAAATCAAGATTAAATTTATTCTTATTTGTAGGTGTTGCATAACACCAAGGAGAAAAAAAAATAATAATAAATTGAATTTAGTACATATGGTATAATATATAAAAATGAATAAGGTTCAAATAAGCTATTGAAGACATTAAATTACTATTGGGCTATTGAATTCAAAGTAACTCAATTTGGTCTTTGAGTGCAAATTTATCAATCGTTATACCTTGCACCACGGTGCGCGTAGCATTGTGCGCCACGCACCTCTCAAAACGACGTCGTTTTGGTAAGTTATGTAGGGAGTTGACGTGATTATGTGTATTTGTTTATACAATTATGTATATTATACAATTATGTACATTTTTTATACAATCATGTACATCTTTTTTATACAATTATGTACATCCGAAATGTGTATTATGTTAAGAGTTGATGTTTATTATGTTAAAAATTTATGTATATTATGTATTATGTTAGATTATATGTATTATCTTTTAAAAGAAAAGTATGTGTATTTTGTTATACAATTATGTACATTCATGTATACAATTATGTGTATTCTAGTATAAAATTATGTACATTTTTGAACATGAGATTTTTTATTTTTTATTTACAGAAAATTAACCGCCAACACAGGGTAGTGAAATTTCAAAAAAAAAATAAAAAAATCTGAAACGACATTGTTTTGTATCAGGGCGCACAATGCAATGCGCGCCCTAGTACAGGATATAAATTTTCGCAAATTTATGTAATTGGACTTAAATTGACTTGTTTATTGAGTAATAGTTAACTCACCCCTTCCCAAGTATAGACAAGGAGGGGAGTGGGTGGGTTTTTGCCTTTTTTAAAATAATAATAATAAATTAAAAATAATTTTTTTAATTGAAGCATGTGTTCTATTTCAATTAAAAAATTTAAATTGATAGAGTGAATGGTAGAACATTTTTTAGACGAACAGGATGCACTAGAATGGAGTATTAAGAAGAAGAAGGTGATGACTAGGCCTGTGCAATGGACGGGTTCGGACGGTTCGAGTTCACGGAAGGCCAATTTGATCGAATTTTGGATACAGTATTCAAGCCCCTATCCGTTTATTTTGTAACCTAAATCCGTCGAAAATTCTTCCAAATTATCGAACGGATATCCGTTTAAATCGTCGGACAAATCGGTTATTTATGATAAAAGTGTAAGTGCAAAAATTAATAAATTTATTTAATTAAAAGAACTGATTTTACAAACGTAACTACTAAAATACAGAGGTTGGGACGGAGCTTTAGTCTTCTGGCTATCGGCGGGAGGGATACCTTTGGGCAAAAAAAAAAAAAAAAACTACAATACAGAACTACTTAAGTAGTTAGACACTTCACATTTACAAACTATTTAAAAACATACAAACTTAAATTAAAATTTACATTCCTAACTTCAAAACATAAAATGATAAAGGGAGAGGTGTCAAATAAGTCCATCTACTACTTCGAAGTGTTCAATTACCTCCACCATCTAAAATATATGCTAATCAGACACATTTACCTCCTAAAATTGTTCATTGAGCTTTTTTTACAGGTTACTCCCGGGTTGCCCGTCCACCTTGGTGACCTGTAATTTTATTAAAATAAATGTGGGCTGAGGTGGAATTTAGTTCTTAAATCTTTTCGCCGGAGCCGGAGGTCGCCCTGTATTTCTCAACCCCGCAGCCATCGAGTTCCACCGATGAGTACCCTATCTTCTTCACAAAAAGCAAATATCAGTAGTCATATAACAGCGACCTCAAAAGCACCATCTTTTTCGACATTCCACCGTTTGATAAAAAATCAACTGCAACCCAATCTCCTTAAACACACCCACAATCTCTCTTTCCATTTCACCTCCCGTGATCGTCAAAGGCCCCTCTACTGTCGCCAGAGGATTTTTGTCCGCGATTGAGAAGGTAATTGACAAAGAAGAGTTCTGACATTTCCATGAATCAATCGAAGGTGAAGGTCATGGCAGCTGGGAGATCACAGAGCTAAGCTCGGGCGGAGATCTAAAGGAGATGCAGCAGCATCAACCAAACCAACAGAGCTTTATTTTCTAAGTCTGTCTTTTTGTTCGCTTGTGATAGAGAGAGAGAGAACGGACTTCATCCTCGATGGCAAATGCAAAGCAGAGACAACAATTTTAGAGTTTTCAGAATTTGGGAATAACTTCATCAACGACAGCCTCCGCCGCCCGCCTCGTCCTCCCCGGCGAATTAGCGAAACACGCCATGTCTGAAGGCACAAAGGCCGTGACTAAGTTTACAAGCTCCTGAATTAATTTAATCCTTAATTTCTAATCTAGATTATGTCAAGTTTTGGGAAATTAATGGAACTGCGGCAATAGGTATCTTGTGTAATTAAATTGGTTGTTCTAAATTCAGGTTTGCCCAAATGTTTTTTTTTTAATATTTTATGCCATGTAAGCAATTCCACCTAAGCATAACCGAGCCACGTCATGGAAAACTGGTGGTAACCTGCAAAAAAGTCTAATCGAACAAATTTAGAAGGTAAGTGTGTCTGATTAGCATATATTTTAGATGGTGGGTGGAATTGAACACTTCAAAGTAGTAGATGAGCCTATTTGACACTTCTCCTAATGATAAATGATAATTGATTAATTGATACAGACTAAGTGACTAACTGACTAGGCATTAAGCAATAAGCATACAAAAATACAAAAGAGTGAAATTCAGACATTCAGTCACTGAGTCACTATAAGCTCCATTGCTCCAAGCCTCCAAAGTCCAAGCCACCAAGCTTCACCGCGTGTCCTAAACTTCCTAGATCTTATGTACTTAAGTACCTAGAGTCCGAACTTAATGCCCTAAAGTCTTGTCTTAGGGGTCTTATCCTAGGGTCTAACTTAGGCTCTGATACCAACTGTAACACCCCTAATTTTTAAATAATTAAAAGCTTATAAATTAAAGGCAGACTAATTATAATTATCCAAACAGAGCATAAACTAAACATAATTGTCGGGCTGTTATGCCACACCTAGGTTTGAGAACCTAGATGCACATGCTAAGACTATTCAGGCATGTGTAATCCATAAGTTGATAAACAAAACACAATCCACGGCACGCAGGCCGGCTACTGTATCTAGGGCTAACTAGACTAAGACTACGAGTCCATCTAGTGCACACCTCAGCTAATATTATCACCTGAAAAACATATCGTAACAACCGTCAGCGAATAATGCTGGTAACCCACTCCAACGCGTTAAGTACAATATAAGTAGATATAAGAAAATCATTTTGAAACTGGAATACATATATAGTCTAAGCAACTCTAGCTTTAAACCAAGATCAAGACTCGAGACACGACAACAGACTTGGCACTATAGAACAATAATGAAGCCTAGCATGCGTTCTAAGAACACGATACAAAACATAATAGACAAATAAGCTTATAAATAGCAAATAGAGACAACAAAGGGATTCAAGACAGCCAATTAGCAATTAATCATCAAGTCACACAACTCATCTTCTAACCTTATACCAAGTTCCAACCTTTTCACTCCACTTCATCCTTATTTCAGTTCCAACCTGTACCTCCAGGCCACCCTTATACCTCCTCCTTATTCCTCCAGAGCAACTACATGCCCACTCCGTAACCACCAACAAGTCCACCAACATGGTAGCACCGAAGTGTCATTCGCATGATCTGTACCTCTAGTACCAATACCAAGGGGTTAGCACATATAGCTCTAACATGACACCGCGACGCTTATACCCTGACACAAGCCTTTAGCCAGCTAGTCTAAGGGGTGGTCTGTGCCTTTAGCACGATAACCGAGCACTCGTTGTGCTTTCCGCCAACAATTCATCTCCACGAATCACAATCTCATAACCCTTCAGTTCCTTCACTACTTTTAGTTCCAGCAGAAGAAGGTGCAGGTTGGAAAGTAAGCAAAGACTGCCTTGTATCCTTAGAGTGAGGATTTTTAAGGTAGTTTAAAATATAATTTCTGAAAGAAGAAGTCTCATGTTTCTTGACTCACATGCAAACTGCCTAGCACAGTATAAACATTTTCCCTTGATCACAATGCCCTCAATGTCTTTGATCTTTTCAAAGTGATCCCATATAGGAGATCTGGTCTCAACCACTTTCCTTTTCTTTGGAACAGGCAGAGGCAAAGGCTGCTGAGACTGAGATGTATTTGTCTCTATAACTCTGGCTTCCACCTCAGGTTGACTTCCAGATAAACCACTAATACTTTCCATCTAAAAAGGGAAAATATCAGTGAATGGGAAATCACTCATGGAAAATTATCAACAATTATGGACAAAGGCATCAAGCATGCACATTACCAAATATATTCATATAATTACTTAAACAGGCAGAATTCAGTTAATTTCACATGTCATCATATATGCAGAATTGCACATAAACGATTTAAGGGTCACATATCCATAAACTTAATACAGGCCAAAGTCAATTTCACACTTACAAATTACAATTTACAAAGAAATCCATAATCAGGCATTCAAGCTAAGTAGATGTATGCTACTTTATAATGCTCATAATTTATATGGATTTCACACACAAGGGCTAGGGCTTCCACCAGATTAGGGGCAATTAATTAACCCTTTAAGCCTTTAACTCCTTTAAGGGACAAGTTAGTGAATGACATGCAATCTGGAAGATTAGAACTTCTCAACAGATTCACACATAAATTATAAATTTATAATGCTCATCATTTATATGGATTTCACAGACAGGGGCACAGTGACACAGGGGATATGGCTTCCACCAATAGATTCACATTATCACAGACTCACAGTCCACAAAAATCACAAATTAGGGACAAGTGACATGCTCACATGCAATCTGGAACTTCTCAACAGATCACATTATCACAGT